CAGTGGTAGTGCTGACCACAGCTGGTGCAGAAGAGCTGGTCCGAGATGTCACCTGGCAAGTCACAGATCACGCAGCACGCATTCTCCCCTGGGATAGAAAGTCAAACAGAAATAAACCGTTTGTTTTAACCTACTGTCTGTCTGCTGCCTAACCCAGTAAGAAATACAAATTTGGTGTCAAATGGCAATTTCTTTATATTCATGATTGTTGTCAACAGATAATGATGCACTCTGATTTTTCTTTAGTAACCTACCTACCCTAATTTTTTTAGTAGTAAGGCCAAACTGACTTAATTTTATGGATGACATCCTCTGAAGACCCCCAAACTAGTACGCGCGGGCGAATAAAAAAATTATTCCAGCCCAAAAAAATTCTTCTAAACCACAGGAATACAAAGCTGGTATTTACAGTAGTACGACTTTTACCACAAGCCGGCACATGCTGGCTTTTTGCGCATGCGGCATTTATGAGTGGGCATTGTACTGAGTTGTTGAGTTCTGTGAAGTTTCGGCAGCCTGGGTGGGTTTGGCACCTGGTACCCAGGCCAGAGCCTTGGAGGTGATTTTTTTTTTTGAGAACAGGTAAAAATCAATGCACGCACGGATGTCATCCTTTAAATCAGTGTTCCCTAAGCCTTACATACCTATTGTCTCTGCCTCCTCCAGGTGATCAGGACAGAGGAGAGACATGGTCTTGATGTCCTGGAAGGCCCCTGCTCCAGCCGCACACGGATAGTGGAACAGTTTATTGCACTTGGCATTCCGGCAAAGGATGGTCGCTCCAAACCGCTTACAGTAACTACATTTCTGAAATAGAAGAGAAAACAAACAAAATTATTTTACCTAGTTCACTCCAACAAGAATAAGGTAAAACATCTGAGTCAAATTCCGTCTTCACCCTTTTCCAAGTCACAAATTTCAGTTTTGATCTTAGGCCACACCAATTTAATTTCTTGGTTAACGGATTCGCCTCTTCATTTTTTTCTGATTTGCAAATAAAAATAAAAATTCAGAATCAACTGCAAAATGCTCATATTTTGCCCTGAACAGTTGAAAACAGTCCTTTTCATCCTACTTGTTACAGTTATTCCATCTTTCAATGCAATGGTATCATTAAAAGTTCAAAATTCATTGTTTAAATTTTGAACCAGCCTGGTGTGTTGACTTCATGGCTCCTATCGTACCATTTTGGGCCATAATACGATGCCTAGGCCTGTTTTTATTTTTATTTTTTTTTCGCCCGTCCTCCATTATTTTTCTAGAAAAATCCGTTAACCAAGAAATTAAATTGGTGTGGCCTTAGTTAGCTGATCCCTGCTTTTCATTGGCTGCTTTTGGTTCCTGGTTCTATATTTGTATCTGTATCTGTATGTGTATAACCAGTATAATTGCACTTTTGCATAACACATGACACATTACAGGAGCTTTCTAGTGATGATGCCCCATCTGTGCTTGGTGAAAACTAGTTACCCTCTAAAATAGTTCTAGAGAGTAGGATTTTTTGAACACCTCAATATAGTACAGTGGCTTCCTACTGGGAGACGTAAAGTGGGACGTCCTTATACTACACTTCTGTCCATGTTAGAGAGAGACACTGGTCTCGCAGGGCCTGCATTAGTGTCCGCTATGAGAGATAGGACATACTGGAGTAACTTTATCAAGTGTATACCTCACCGGATTAGTATAATCCGGAGGCATGATGATGATGGCATGATGAACTCTGATATTCAAAGGCATGACTATTTCTTGTTCTTTTCTGGTCCTGATTGGCTGTTGATGTCTCTGTCCACAGTGTTCTCAGACGAGGGAAACTGGGCCTGTGTGGCCAGGAACAAGCGTGGTCAGGACAAGTGCATCTTCACCCTGACTGTCCAGGAGAAACCCTTCCCTCCGGAGTTTGTGATCAAACCCAAGTCTACCACAGTGGAGGAGGGGCAGGAGGCAGTGTTTGATGTGCAGGTGGACGGAGAACCGCAGACCTAAAGGGTGGGAACGATG